GTCAAGTAATTGAGATAACATACTAGCTCATTAGCATATTATTCATATCATGATTATGGATTTTTTATATATAGGTACGGGAGATCCTCTAAAATGCAACCCAAAAAGTTTATCTTTCACTATGCATAATTCAGAGGCTACATTTTCTCAGTGATTCGCCCATCTTTTTTCAAATCCGACATCAGGAAACTTGAAGAAGAGTTGCTTGAATCCCCGCTGTGTCTTTAATAAATGCTTTAACTCGCCTAATTTATTATAATTACCAAATTATTCACAGTTAACCCTAGTAGATAAAAGTATTGAGAAAAATCTTTTTTAGAATTTCTAATTATTGATCCTGGAGATTTACGTTAGCTATATTCTAACTTCCAAATACCAGTAATTTAATAACACCAATTTTAACGCCTTAAATAATATGGATGAATACATCTCATACATACGATTAAATGGTGGTCTCGATAGCCAACTCATAAACGAATAAAGTAAATAAGTATCTGCGTGTTATCAATACACATTAGCAAGGAAGGTTCCTAATTTACTAACAAGGACATCTAAAAAGAATAAAATACTGTCATGCTCTAACCACTCCTAAATTCGATAAAACGGAGAATATATTCGAATAAATTTGTTTATATTATTTAAGATAGTTCTTGTTTTAAATAGCTATTTGCATGACAAAATTCGTTGTATTTTATGAAACTCAATTGTTAGAAGTGGGGTGACCTCGTTTTCGCAACTTGATATTGTTTTTAGGGAACTTAGTAGGACACACCTTGTCCGAAGTCCTCTGCCATAGTAGTTATCGTAATTCTAGCATCAGAGTGTGAACTTGGCTCGTTTCCAGACGTTTCACCGGCATCATGGTCGGATTCATCAGTGAGTATTGCCACTCTCCGCATCAAGCAATTAACTCTTTACCCTTCTATCCAACTGCCGCCCTATCACAACTTCTGACTTGTGTGCCCTTCTTTTGACAAATTTAGTGTGACCTCAACACACCAGCTATTCACCCCAAACATCTCTCTTTCGATCGACTAATCCGACTCGGGCCTCTAATCCGGATCCCCTTCGTTGTCCAATAGATCCGTTCCTTCTCTTTTTGATTGACCGGTTTCACTCGGTTCTAAGCTCAGTGTGCATTTTACTCAAAGCGATATATCTCAAGGTCCTAGAAGCAAATACACTGCCGCATCACCGAGCAGAGAGCCTATGCTCTGATTGTAGATACGATAAATTGGGTTTCCATGAATCTCTGGAGATAACATTGTTGGGGGACTTTCATTTAGTATGAGAGTGCACGAAGAAGAGATTCGTAGGTCGATCTCACCAGAAGAGGAAGGCTGAATCGCGTAATACTGTAGCCGTTTGTCTTTTATACGACGTTTAGGTTGACGCAGTCCACCAAGAAAAGGCACGACTAGGGCTGCGTAATCTGACACATCTGGTTTGGTTGATGAGCTTAATCTAAAATGTTGGATAAGTGCAAGTGAAATTAGAACCATACAGAGCAGACAAGTTGAGTCGCTTTATTCTGGATGGCGGCTTAACACCCCGATAGATCCTTGATCCAGGCGTCCCCTTTTGAAACATTCATATGGATTTTCTCAAAAAATTAAGTACATTGCACTAGAAAAAACATACTTATTGGCAAGTTTTGATGTAGAATCAATGTATAAAAAAATATCTGGAGAAAATGGGTTAACGGCCATGCTGAAAATCCTGGACCGAGAGGAGATTATGCTGGAATCACAACAGATCAGGAGGGAGTCATTAACAAGACTAATAAATTTGACAATAAGGACAACCTATTTTACATTCAACGGAAAAATCTATGGACAAATATTTGGACTTCTCATGGGATCGCCAATCTCACCACTTTTAGGAAATGTACACATAAACAAAACTTAAAGATGGCACCGCTACAACCGGCAGTGCTCATACTTATTTTACATCCAAAGGGATCATTTATGAAAAATAGTTGACGTTCCCGTCAGATCGCCGTAAGCATATACATGAAAAATTAGAAGAGAACTTCAAGATGTCACTGCTACAACCAGTCGAGCTCATGCGGTACCTGGATGATTACATCGCACTTTGGTCAAATCGAAGAGAAAAACTGGAAGATTTTCTGAAGTTTATAAACCAGATTGATGAAAAAATTAAATTTACGATGGAAGTAGTGGAAAGTGATCAAGTACATTTCCTCGATGTTTAAGTGATTCGCTCTAGTGGGACGCTCAAAAAGAAGTCATATGACGAGACAATACTCCATTTCTAGTTTCATCACAATTAAAGGCTGAAGAAAGGAATAATGAACATGGTCATCCGAAGCCTATGTTTAACGGAGGTGGAAATCTGGGACGAGGAGTTAGACAAATAGACTAGGATATGCCTCGGCAACGGCTACCCGGGCGAAGTAATACAAAGAAACATGCGGGACGTGAAAAGCAAATGGCAAAACGGGGACTATGAAAGAACAAGAAGGACGATGAAGGATCCACAAAAGTGGATATGCCTACCTTCCTGCGAACTAACTCAAAAACTACGACCAATATTGAAGAAATGGAATATCTCAGTGGCTATGAAAGTAGAAGCAACGCTGTTTACAAGTCTATCGATGCAACATCAGAGGGTAGATAAATTGGATTGTTTATGACTTTATTGCATATCACGCATCGAATGCGAACAGAAATATATTGGCGAAATAAATAGAAAAATTAGCACACAAATAAAGGAACATCAAAGGCCCTGCAGGAAAATGGATACCGAAAGATCAGAACAAGCGGAACACATCGCACAGA